ATTACACTGCGTGCTTACAAACAGGAACCAGGTATTGAGCTAATGTTACACTTGACTGAAGTCAGAAAGCCAAGAAAGCCCCAGTTCCCCTCTTCAGCACACGATATGGATCTCAGCTATGCTTAGGCAATGGGGTTTGGAATGGCAAAATGCTCACTGAATCAATGTTTTGTGGCCCCCTACCTTCTCCCACCAGACCAATGACAGCAGCCACCTTTGTCCAGGCAGGTATTTAAGAAAGAAAGCAAGTTTGCTCCCCAGTCTCCATTTGAACCCACGCACTGCCCAGCTTCTCTACCGAAATCAGATAATCTTTTAAAGGAAAACCTTTATCCTGTTCCAAAGACGACAATCTCTATGTGGTGCCAGTTATCTTCAGAAATGAAATCACAGTTCAAAAAAACCTCCAACCAAGCCTGTGATATTCTTTCAAATCTCAAATAGAACAGACAAACTGTATCTTCTCCTTAAAAATGTCCCTAGCAGAATTATTTCCCTTGTAAGGAAAGGATAAATAATGCTCTTATCCCTGTTAGATACCTTAGCAGTCACAAGGATTACTTAAATAACATACTTGAGACCAAAGGATATACATTAACAACAGAACTGCAATGTAGCATAATACTTTAAATAAGCTGTTCATATTTATTTTAAACGCAAGTATGATGTACTCTCATTAGTCCTGAAACTGGATTTGTCTAATAGATACAGGGGAAAATATTTGATACACATATCCAAAACTACCGTGGCTCCACAGGAAGGCCCCTTTATTGCTTATTGAGTAATCTGCATTAGCTATAGGAGGGGAAAAAAAATTGACTAATTGTGGGGAAAACAAGTGAAAAGAGATACTGCTGCTTGACTGACATCACCTTCCATTTCGAGAGCGTCCTGTCACCACATAAGAAAATGCTTCAATAAAACTTGGAGACTATTAGTTTAACAAGAATTAGGTCACTTCTGAAAGACTTTCAAAGATACTCAGAGTCATTCCAGTTTACAAGATCTGTACTGCACAAGCAAACACGCCTGCAAATTTTGGCTATTTCCCTGACAACTGCAATTAAACTGGCTGGCAGTCATTCAAAGAATGGCCTTTTATAGTATCCACTGAAGAGGAGTGGTTCTGGAAAGACTGGGGTTTCTGCACCTGAACAAAGGCCATACCCACCAGGCTCCATGAAGACAATGTGAAAGCAGATGACAGTTGTCAAAGTTAATCAACACGCATGATTTATGTCGATGATTTTTGCTGGCAGAGTACAAAGTACAACATAAAAGAGCAAACAGAAGGAAATATTGCACCAACACACCTGGCATCTTTCACGCGTTCGTTTGCCTGGTAATATCCAGCTATCACGTAGCTATTCTCTTTGCACCAAGAGTCAATCTGGAAAAGTAATTGGAACAAGTAAGACCAGGAAAAAGAAGGAAGAAAACCCCCACAGAACTACGGAAATCTCATGTTTTCCCTGCAAATGGAACAGTAATTGAAGCATTACGGTATCTTTGCCAGTTGCTTCTTTAAATATATACATATTTATATGTATTTATGTGTGCACTCACACAGTTTGGCTAATTTAACTAGAACAGAGAAATCAAGCTGAACAATTTAAGAGAATCATGGAAAACATTAACCAAATGGAGCAAAAGAGCAAGAAGTTCTCTCAGTCAAAGCCTGCCGTAAATTTGAATGACAGGACTACTAATTTCAGCAATGCTGCCTGGGAGAGGAGTCTTGGTCTTACCTGTTGCCCTTGGTGGCTGTTTTCTGTTAGTGTTTATTCAACAGACTCTAGAAAACATTCACCATGTGGGTGTGTGACTGCACTGTCATTCAAAAGGAGCTTGTTGATTTTATTTCTATGTACTATTACCTAGTTTAACAATGTAATATTTCTAGGTTAAAGCGTAACCATTTTTTTACCTTCATTAGAAAATAAAGCTAGAAGTGAAAGGTAAGTGTGAGGCAGAAAAAGTTTTTGCCATTTACCATTTCTTGAACCCACTCCATTATAAAAAGGCTTTTGAGATAAAACTGTTTTTCTTTTGAGAGTTCCTCCTTATTTAACACCTGCATGTAAATGCTTAAATTTAAGCATTTCTTTGTACACAATTGATACATAACTTTTGATTTACACAAGTACAAAACTTTATGTCATTTTGGGTTTTTTTTATGTGCAGGTTCAGCATGCACACGCTGCTGCTCTTTCTGCTTCATGCTGGATCTGAATTCTTCCTGCTG